TGCGATGCCGCTGGTGCTGCGTGCTCCGTGAACACTGAGGTCTCCGGGGGTGGCAGTCGGGCGCCTTTGCCCGGCAGTGAACTCACATCAAGTTGTGTGACAGTGACGCTCTCCAAGTCGCCCGCCCGCGAGAGCTGGGGAGTGAGCCCAAGCGGAAGAGAAAAACAGCCCCTCGGAGCTTCCCCGCGCTCACAGAACTCTGCCGCTTCCCCCTCGCTGACAGGGCTGCTGTGACTTTATTTAAGCACCTGTGTGTTTTGGCAACACATGCTCCCGTGACAAATCCCACAGGGTATGTCTACACTACCACCCTAGTTCGAACTAGGGTGGTAATGTAGGCAACCGGAGTTGCAAATGAAGCCCGGGATTTGAATTTCCCGGGCTTCATTTGCATAAAGCTGGGCGCCGCCATTTTTAAATGTCTGCTAGTGCGGACTCCGTGCCGCGCAGCTACACGCGGCACGGACTAGGTAGTTCGGACCAGGCTTCCTATTCCGAACTACCGTTACTCCTCGTTTCACTAGGAAGCCTAGTCCGAACTACCTAGTCCGTGCCGCGCATAGTCCGAGAGCGAGCGCGGCTTATGGCCGGGAACAGGGCGAGCGGAAAACCTACTCCTCTTGCTCCAGGCGCGTGCTATCCTGGGCCTTGTCTTCAGCAGCAAATTAGCTGGTGTCAGAGCATGTCCCCAGGAAGTCCTGCTGACTAACATGATGTCAAAGGCAAGAACGCTGTCAGTGGAGTCCGGGGCTGCCGATGGAGGTGCCTGGCCAATGTCTTTTCTATCCATGCGCAGATTTTTTCCCATCCATGTGCAGAATAAATTTTGTTATGTGCACCGAGGCATCCATGCACACAAAAGCCTAGCGCTGGGTGTGCGCTGCTGATGAGCAGGGAGCATTTGAATCTCTCCGGAGCAGCTGCGCAAGCATCCAGCACTACCATCCCCTTGGCAGCAGTAGTGGCTGGAGCCCCGGGCTCTTTCAATCCTCGCCAGAGCACCCCTGTGTCCCCAGTGGTGCTGGAAGACTGGCTGGGAGAGGCTAGCCTCCAGTCCCACCCCTTCTGCCTGGACTCTGATCCTACCAGGATCCAGGGGTGGACAAGTTGGGGCCAGATCCCTCGCTGTGATAGAGACAGACCGGGGCGGGGAGGGCGCGTGGCTGATGGAGAATGCCGTTTGTTGCAAAACTGCGTGCTGCCGCAGATATTCTGCTCCATTCAGCTTGCGGAGACTAGCTAAGCCTGGTTGCTCCTTTTTAACCTCAGCCCTGTGAGGTCCTGCAGTAACCAGTGGCTACTAACACCCCCGAGCACTGCTGGGTCTCATCAGTAGGGAGGCATCTTAAAAAAGGAGGCACGGGTCAGTTTTCACAATACCCTTTGGAAACCTAGAATTCTGCTCTGCAGTGGAGTGTCACCTTTTCCGTAGCGATGTGTATGACTCTGGGTGCCTATTATCCTCTGGGAGTGTCACAGTGCGAGCCGGGTGGGCGAGAGATCGGATCAGAAATGAAACACTGATATGGTAATTAGCTATCTGTCTAGCCAGGTGCTTGTCTGTCTGCTGCATCAATGTATGGTGTCTGTCAATGGCATCTGTCTGGCTGTTCCAGGGGTCTCGCTGTAATGACAGTAGCTATTGATAGTAGCTATCTACATGCAGGGCTAGCTATCTAAGTATCTATCTACCTGTTGATGGGGTGTGTGTGTATAATATAGGACCTGTCTGTCTAAGGTTTCAGTCTGTGGTGGCTTGGTCTTTTCTTGGTGCCTCTTATACCTGACAGGATCTCCAGGCACTTCACAGCGTGAAGAGTGGGAGTTGGCAGGCAGGAGTGTGGCTGGTGATAGATTCAGCCCTGCTCTTCCCATCACATAAGGACCACCCTCCCTGGATCTTACTCTGGATCCTCTTGGTCCCCTCTCTGTCCTCTGCTCTCCCGCCTCCATGTGCTCTTCTGAAGATATTGCACATTCTGTGACATGCTAGGTCTTCCTCCCCCCACTGCCAAGATTTCTGCAGGCTCTTTCTGGGGGTTCCTGGTGTCTGCTGCCCCAGAAAGGACCAGCAGAGGAATCTTTCTGGACCCAGTGTCTGCCCTCAGGGTAAGTGCGTGAACAGGCCCTCCAGTCTGCCTCCGCCCCACCATGTGCTCTTCTGAAGATATTGCACATTCTGTGACATGCTAGGTCTTCCTCCCCCCACTGCCAAGATTTCTGCAGGCTCTTTCTGGGGGTTCCTGGTGTCTGCTGCCCCAGAAAGGACCAGCAGAGGAATCTTTCTGGACCCAGTGTCTGCCCTCAGGGTAAGTGCGTGAACAGGCCCTCCAGTCTGCCTCCGCCCCA